TGATGTATATCAATCAGATGTAAATCGGACGTCAATCAGCTATAAATTAGATAGGTCAAATTTTAGCTGATTTTTGACGTATGCTAAACAGCAATAAGTATGCCAATCGGCTATAAATAAGATAAGTCGAATTTTAGCTGATTTTTGGCCAATTTCTAGTGTATGCCAATCGGCTAGGCCGATTTTTGATAATTTGCCAAATTTAGGCCGAATTTAGGCTGATTTTTCGCATGTCTGATTTTTTTTGATTTCGACCAGTGCTAGCTTATCTCTTTTATTACTAATAATGAATAATACTTATCATTTTTAAAAAATTAATATATTTTGTTCAGAATATATATTCAGATTATCAACTATTGTATTTGATATATTAGTTTATTATGATTTAAAATTATCAATTGAAGCTAATTAATATAAGAAATATATTGATTTTAACACCTTTTTTTATGTAATTTCGAAATGTTCCTTCTATTAAAACTTACCCAATAATGATTAGTTTTCGATAAAATTCAGTATTTATTTCTTTTTAATAATATTAAGCAACTTGTAAAAAATTAACTTATATTATTATATAGAAATTTACTAATTAACTTAAAAAATTCATTGATTTATGGCATTTTTTTTATGTGATAAAAATGAATAATGATCGGCAAAAGAAGATCGGAAAATTGTGATATAATTAAGATAGGGAAGTTGGCTGCGTCACTGGCGTAATCTGTCACACGCGTTGTGTTATATGTAACCTGTCACAGAAACAGATGACGCAATTAATATTTCATTCCGATTATCGAATCGTCGATCGAAATCAACGCCAAAATACTTATTAGACACATCTACATCTACAGTGTATATATAACCTTCTTAATCTTTTATAAAAAAAAATGAAAAAAAAATGGCAGATACAAATAATTTCCATGAATTTTTAAATGAGCAAGATGTTTTAACGTCTTCAGATGAATTTAATCAAATAATTTTTGGTGGTGGTATCGGTATACCAGATCCACCACCTAAAAGACCTCCTGGTGATATAACAAATGATGCTGGTGAGTAAAATATCAAATAATCTGTTATAATTCGATTATCACTAAATAACCTTGTTAATTTATATAGGTAGCACTGCTCTTTTAACGACACAACTTCTTTTTGCGATACCATTGGGAACTATATCTTTGTTAGTATTTTGCTATCTTCGAACAAGATGGAATGCAATGTTTGCTCCAAGAAGTAGACTTCAAAAGCTTGCTCCTGATCCTCTTCCAACTACATTTTTCGGTTGGATAGTTCCTTTGTATAATATGCCTGAATCTCATATATTAGAAAGGGTTGGATTGGATGCTGCAGTGGTATGTTGATTATTTATTTTTCTTTTTTAGGGAAAAAAATTCTAACTTATGATTTTCTTATTATAGTTTTTGGCATTTTTTAAGATGTCCTATAAACTATTCACGTTTTGTGCAATCGTTGGTTTTGTCGTAGTTGGTCCTGTTAAATTAACTAAATACTTCGATCTCTTACCGGATGGCAATAATGATGGGAGAAATTCCTTTGATAATGTTCCAAATCCCCAACCAATAGAGGAAACACCCGAGACGCCCGGAGAATTGGCAGTATATGTGATATTAACCTGGGTGTTTTCTCTTGCAACTTTTTATTTTACTTTTTATAATTATCTAGAGTTTTCTAATATCCGACATAGATATTATTTAAAGTGGAAAGATACTATAGCTGCAAGGACTGTTATGGTGACATCTATACCTAAAGAGTTACAAAGCGATCCTGCTTTGGCTGATTTTTATGAATCATTGGGATTTGGTACAGTTGAAAGTGCCGTAGTTTATCGTAACGTTCGTAAACTTAGACGTGCAATTGAAAAAAGAGCAAAATATTTACAAAAATTAGAAGAGGCTTATGTGGATTATTTAAATAATCCTTGTAAGGATCCAAATTATGAACCCGAAGAAGCATTAAAGGGTTTTGAAAAGGCTGATGATGCAAAGACTGCAAACGATAATGCAGCCCAAGTCCTTTCAAAAGTTTTAGCAAACCGACCAACAAAAAGTTTGTTATTATTCGGTGATAAGGTTGATAAGATTGAATATTACACCCAAAAATTCTTTGAATACGATAAATTAGTTGAAGTTGGAAGACGGGGGGCTTATTCAACTTCATCTATCGGTTTCGTGACCTTCGAAAACATAGCTAGTGCGGTAATATTTATTTGGTTTTTTAATTTCCTTTTTTTTGTCGAAATTTAATTCTTATGTTCGTTGCAAAAATAGCAATTAGCTTCACAAGTACTTGTTCATTCAGAACCATTTAAATGTCATACCGAACTTGCCCCTGAACCACGTGATATGTACGAGAAGCGTCTTTTTTTTTTATTGTATAATTTAATTTAATCAATTTCGAATTAATTTTTTTCTATTATAGTTATTGGTATAATATGGCAATCCGAACACGAGAAATGTTTATTAGAAATGTGATTGTTAACGTTCTTATTTTCTTTCTTGTGTTTTTCTGGTCTGGACCTATTTCACTTTTTGCTTCACTGTTGAGTCTTAAGAGTTTGGAGAAATTTTTTCCATGGTTAGCACATTTAGCAGAAAAGAATGAAGCCTTAAAGGATTTTATTCAAGGAACTTTGCCAACTTTGTTCGTATCTCTATTCAATGCACTTTTACCGAAAATCATGATTTGTAAGTTTATTTAATTTTCAAATTGCATTACTTTTTCGTTTCAATTTTAATTTCAACCATTTTTTTATATATATCTAGTCTTATCTAGACTTCAAGGATTTCATGCTCGTAGCACTATCGAGCTTTCGACATTTGCCAAGTATAGCTCTTTTTTAGTTTTAATTTGTTATGTTATGTTATGCATGTTATTAACTTTTTTATTATATTATTAGATATTACTTTTTCTTGTTAATGAATGTATTGCTTGTATTTTCCATTGTCGGATCAGTATTCAAGAATATTGAAGAAATCTCTAGAAATTTGCCAGAAATTGCTTATAAATTAGCTACAACATTGCCTCAAGTAATTTTTATAATTTATTGATATATTTACCACATATTAATTAATATTGCTAATAGTTATAAATGGAATTTTAGGTTTCATCATTTTTTGTCAATTTTGTTGTCATCCAAGGGATTGGTTTGTTCCCAATTCATTTGTTGCAATTAAAAGAAGTCGCTTATACTTGGATTATGCGTGTATTTTTTTCAAAAACTCCTAGAGATTATGCTCAAGCAACTGCTCCACCATTTTTGGATTACGGAGAGGAATTACCACCTATTATTTTGATTTTTGTTATTATTATAGTTTATTCTTCTTTAACGCCAATTATTACTTTATTTGGAGCAATCTATTTTTTCCTTGGTTATATGTGTTATAAATATTTACTTTTATATGGTATGTATGGAACTTCATAATAATAATTATTATTTGAACCTTTGTAAATCAATTTTTACTTTTCTAGTCTACTTTCATCCGTATGAAACTGCCGGACTTGCATGGCCAAAGATTTTCCGAAGAATTATTATTGGACTTTACATTTATCAAATAATGATGATTGGATATTTATCATTAAGAAATTATTATTATTTAGCTGCAAGCGTCTTTCCAGTTCTTATTTGTACATTTCTTTTCTTTTATTATGTTAATGGTGCTTATGAAAGAACTTCAGCTTTCATACCAATGAAGAAATTACGTGAAGAATTAAATAAAGCACAAACTAATACAGCAGATGTTACGATTACACCAAAGGCACCTGAAACTTCTGAAAGTGCAAATGATGTTACTAATACCGATGGACCACCTACTGCTAAAAATGATGATGATACTGAGGAAGGACATTCTCATCGCGATGTATTAGATGATGACTTGTATCACGCGGATCCAGATTTATACACTGATTATTCACAACCCCCAATGTCCTTATATGATGGTGTGCTTAATACAGGAATGAGAAATTATGGACCTCCAACATTAGTTGGAGTACTTCCATGGTTGTGGCTTCCCGTTAAGAGAGTGCCATCAGATGAAGATGCAACTCCAGGATTTTTCCATCGTCTATTGGGAATGAACAAAACTGGATCTAAACCAATTACGAATCGATCATTATTAAGGGAAACAGAAGAAGAAAGAGCTCAACGAGATTTACATATTCAAGAAATTGCAGATTCAAAAATCAAATTAGCAACAAAAAGAGCAATACGAGATCCTAATAATCCAAATAAGATTTATTATCATCATCCTGAAAGACGTCGTTCTACTCTTGTCTCACCAATAATTCCTACAACTTCTGGGGGTCCTAGTAATATGTTTAATGATAGATCAGTTAGAATGTCTAGCCCTGAAAGAAGTGAAATTAGATCAAGAGATATTCCTATCACTTCAAGAGGAATACCTTCTACATCAACAGATCCAACTCCTAGAGAAATCCCAGGTTCAGAAATTTTACCTGTTCGATCTAATCGGAAATTAACTAATAAATTCGGTAAACTTGCAGGAAGTAATTTTGAATAGATAATTTAAGATCTTATGTAATCATTATTTATTTTTTTATTTTATTTATTAATTATTATAAATTATTCTGTATTATATAAAATATATAAAAATATATTTATATTATTAGTAAAATGAATTTCAATAATAAGGGGAGGGGCCGTAAATTTTAACCTTGTTACTTTACTATTCGGCTATTGATTTGAAATTTTAAGGTTAGAATAGTGTAAATATACGTAGTCTATCAAATTTAAAATAAGGGAGGGTCTTAAAATGGATTTTATTCCTGAGAGGAAAAATGAAAAAATTTTACGCAGTCGTTTTTTTCTTTCTCTAGATTGTATCAATGAAGTAAACATATTTTAAGAAACAAAAGTATTCCAAAAATTATATTATCCAAAAACCAGAAATCTTTATGAACAGTATGTGAATGCTTTCGCATTCTGTAAAATGATAAATACCAATAAAGTATTAAGCAAAAAAGAGCTTCAGGAACAAGCTCAAAATAACTAATAAGAACTGAAAATGAGAAGCAGAGACTTTATTCAAAGTCATATTTTTGAATTAACTTTTTTTTACAACAATAAAGAATCCTTCAAAACTCTATCAGAATCAGAATCTCCAAAACCTTCGGAACTTTCAGAACCCATACTCCTTTATCAAATGCAACAGTATAAAGGCAGTTATATGAAAATTTTCAAAAAAAATAAAGCTGTTTTGTATAAATACAATAATTTATATAATTTATTAAAAGCAGTAAAATCATCAGAATTTCGCTTACAATTTACTTCAAAAATTAAAAAGATTAAGATGATGGTTGCGTTGAAAGAAAGGAAGCTTAAGAAGTTAAAGAGTAATGCAAAAACTCAAAAACGAGCTTGAGATAGAGGAAAGAAAAATGTTATAGAGTTATATGATGCATCAAGTCAGCAATCATTTTTGATGATAATCCTGAAATTTTGGATAAAATGCATAGAAAAGAAATATGACAAAAATCTACTTTATAGCAATATAAACATCTGGGAATGAAAGAATCATAACTATATCATCTTGCATAAATCAGTTTGACATTATTAAAAGAAATGAGATGATCAATCTTAATAAACACTATTAATTTAGCTTTAATTAAAGATATAAAAATATTCATATTAATTTTTTCTGGTAAAATTGTATTGATTTATAAAATGATAAAGCTAAGGTATTTATTTGTAATCTTTCTTCAATTTAAGTTTCCAATTTTCCAATTTTTTGATATAATCAGTATCAGTTTTTAATTATAATTTTTTAAAGATTATAAAACATAAATTAATACTATTCATTTATTTAATAATTTATCCTTCTAATATAAATAATTTATTGTATTCTAATAAAGTAAAAATATTTATATATTCAAAACATTTTTGAATATGTCAAATAAAATACATATAGTAGATTTTATTTCAATTATAAAAAGAATTCTTGAATTTACAAATCAAGAAAATTTTGTAAACCATTTTAAACATTTTTTGATAGATAACAGTTCAGATGAGAATCCTATTACAAATATTTTAAAATATTTGTTACTTTTAAAAAACTTAATTTAAACTACCTTATAATTTAAACTTATATTCTAAAGGCAATCTACATATAATTTAATATAACATTACTTTTTAAAAAGTTAGAACATATTAAGTTAAATGTTTTTACATTTTAAAAATATTAATAAAAAAATTACTGTTATAAATAAAGATATTAAACATTATAATTTTGAATATATAGACAAGTGTTTTTGTGAACATTAAAGTTATAATAATATTAATAATTATCCAGTTATTAATACATATATTAAAAGGCATAATCAAAAAGATTTTTTGTATATAAATAAAAAATTATAGATTTACATTTATGGTCTGCGGTCAGCATCGGCGTTGCTCTTGGAAGGTCTTTTTGGTATCCAATTTTGGCTAAATGCCGTCCTACTGTCCTATATGACACATCCACACCTTTCAATGACAACCTTGTTGACAGAGTTCTTGTTGAAATAGAAGAATCCTGGCGGACAAATTGGGCTAATGCTCTTGATGCATTAGCCGTAATCTTTTTTGGGTGACCACTTCCTTCTACATGCTGAATTGCAAGCTAAAGCTAATTTGTATATAATATAATGTATTATAAACAAACTTTCTTTCTTTCTTTAATTTTTAATGCTTTATTTAAAGTAAATAACATAAGTTTATTTACTAAACCTTTAAAAAAATATTTAAATTAATTAATAAAAATAATAAGTAAATAATAAATTATATTTAAAACTTAAGTTTTTTATAAAATAAATTAATGATTATTTCAAAAATAGATAATAATTTAAAAATAAACTTTAATATTTTATTTAAATAGTATTTAATATATATAATAAGATAAGATTTACATAAAATTTCAATACTTTCATTAATTATAATATTAAATATAGTAGCTTTAAAAATTATATTAAATAAACATTATATAATGTTTAATAAATTATAGTATATTAATATAACATTTATAAATGATTTTTTTTATAGCAAATTTACTTATACTAAATTTTTTAATCTAATAAAAATTTTTTCAAAAATGTGAGAAATTAAGAATAAATTATTTTGATTATAAAGGGTAATTTAATATTTTTTTTTACTCAAATATAATAAATATATAGTATATTTTTTAATTTTAAATAAATTAAGAAAAATAGATTTTTGTATTTTATGTTTACATTTGTATATTGTATTTTAAAATATCAAGTATTTTATTTTATTTTTTAATATATAAAATGTCAAATACTAGTCAAAATTAAAAAATTAGCTATGTAAAAATTGGTTTAGTTAATTAGCATATATCAAGAATTAGCTAAAATCAGTTAAAATTTAACCTATCTTATTTATAGCTAATTGGTATACTTATAACTGATTGATATATGTTAAGAATTGGTTAAAATTTAACTTATCTTATTTATAGTTAATTGATATCTAATTTATATCTGATTAATGTACATTAAAAATCAATTAAAATATATCAAAATAAAATAAAATTCAGAAGGAAATATCATTGATATTTTATATTTTAAATCATAAAATTTATGCTAAAAACTTTTAATTTACTTTTACAAATAGTATTTTTTATTAATTACAAATATTCTTTTACATTTTACTAAACTAAAATTTTATAGTTTATCAGTATAAATTGACTTAAAATATAATGAGCTAGTATTATATAATCATAACTTTCTAAGTAAAATTCAGTATTTCATAATTTAATATTACATATTTTTTCTTTTCTAAAATAATACTACATATTTAAAAAACTTATAAATTTATACCAACGAATATATACTAAAAAATGTTTAATCAGTTTAAATAATAAATTGATCTTATGAGTAAAATAATATTAGACTTGACTTAAATAACAATCAATAGTATTATTATTTGTAATAAATTTAATTAAATATATAAATTTTTATATATCATAAAGATATTAATAAACTAAAGATTTTAGAATAAATTTAATATCTTTCAATTTAATTTATTTTTGATTTAAATTATTATATCATCTTTTAAATCCTTATTAAATAACTTTGTAAATTCTAATATATTATAAGTTATTTTATAGTATTTAATCATTAAATCAAATATTTTGCTTAAAATAATTATATTATCAGATAATAATTTAAGAAATTCGCAAAAATATTTTACTATTAGTAATTGATTCTTTAATATTTTGTGAATTTAAAATTAGTGGATTTCATCAAAAGAAAATTTATCTGTATTTGAAATAGAATTAATAGAAGTCTAATTATTAAGTAATTTAAGTTTTTTATCTTAACTAAATTACTTATCTAAATTCATTCTGAATTTGGAAAAACATTTAAATTATAAATTTACTAATTTTTACTAAAATTTTAATATACAGCGTGGGACAAAAAAAAACTGGAATTTTTTTTGAGAAATAAAATGATGCAGATCTCAGCCAAATCAAGTCCGATCTGAACTATGTAA